TCAAACAGCAGTCGCTTTCTAAAACATCGGATATGTATCGGATTCAGTACCACATATGAAAGTGACCCAGATCGGATTTGGAAATATCGGATTTGCGACGTTCACACTGTCATACCATGATCGGATATGGGTCGCATAGGATAAAAAAAAAAAAAAATCGGATTTGATGCGCTTTCGCCTGCAGTGTGAACGTAGCCTAAGATACGAGAGCTAACCATCAAACAGGGGACAAAAGCTCATTAAAAGACATGTTAAAAACAATAACTAGTGATGTGCGATACCACTGATTTCCTTTCCGATCCGATACCAAGTAATATTCAGGGTGGTATCATATCCGATACCGATACTTTTCACAAAAACGTATTTTATTTATTGTATCTCAAATTATAGCGTCATAATGATTACAGGACATCAGATTACTTGTTCTTATCACTTAATAATGCAGAGTTCAAATAGAAAAAACTGAAGTTGTGCGCTATTTGAACAACTTGCCTGCCTGCAGCACTAAAGGACTCCTTGAGAGACGTCTGTCTCGCCCTAGCAGCACCTGTCCCCCTCCTCCTCTTCAGTTCGCCTCAACATTACGCTCGTCATATTCTGTGATATGATTTACTCTGGGGTGTTTGACAAGGTTAGTGATATTGCTACAACCGTACATGCCAACCGTCCCAATTTTGTGAACAACCGAAGGATATGGCCTATTTTGCGAGATCTCACAAAAGTTTTGCGATATCTCGAAAAATCAGGAGATTTGTCTTTTCATTATAAACATCCTGAATTTGCTGACCAAACTAACTTTATCTCTGTATTGCAAAGAGTTATGAAGGAAACTTAAGAAACTATTTTATTTGATAACACATGTCTGTAAAACTATTTCTTCATATAGACACTTTTTATCAAAACTTTTGTCACTTTTGTAACAAACGGATGGCAGAAACATTAACATTTTGTCTTTCTTTCTGAAAGATGATCAACTCTGAGAGGGAGAAGAATGAATTGAGAATTCAGAACCTAATACAGACATGTCTAACACTGAAATCAAATATCAGTGAAAACATCGCTCAGAAGAAAGAGGTAAACATGGACATATGTGACATCTGTTATCCTCCCAATGATCAAAGACCTGTGCACTTATATTCCTGTAGTTTTGATCAGCAGCAGTTTCTGTATCATTAACCACAAACAAACACAACTGAGATCCTACCACTCCAAGATTTTTGACATCATCCCACAACACTTAATGTTGTTAACATCATGCTACATCAGCTTCTTTAGATTTACATAATACAGCTTTAGTTTACAGCTTTGATTTTTTGTGTTATCATTATTGTGTCTGAAACATGAGCATTTCTTCCTTCTGCTCTTTTTTCATGTAACATTTCACCTGCAGTGGGAGGAGAATACTGAAATCATTAAACAGCTTCAGGAGGTGAAAGAAATGGCAAAGAAGCTTGAGATTCTGTTGGAGTGCAAACATTGGGAGGTTTGTCTTTACATTATATACATTCAGAATTTGCTGACTCAACTTTCTTTATAAATAGAATAAATGGGCACATTAGTATTTACTCACTATCACACTGTACAATCAATGTAGATTTTTTAAAAAATATATATAGGATATATTTATATTTAAGGAAATAAAAAAGACTATTTGCATATTACTAGTAAGGAAAAACCATGTATGGTCTTTGGGTCTTATTGTCCTCTCCAGTGATTTTAAGATCTACATCTTGAGGCAGTCGACAGCCAAACATCAGTCAAAAAAAACATCTCTGTACAGAGATTTTTTGGATGTGGGTGTTGTGGGAAAATAAATCAGTTATTTTTCAAGGTTTGTTAAAAGAAAGGGCAGCAGGGGTTAAATGAGGAGAGGAACAAATCTTCCATTATAGTGGGTAAAAGACAATGAAACACTGTAAAAACACTGCAGAAAAGTAGAAAAAGTCTGTCATCCAATCAGTGTTTTCTAAGTTGGATATCTACTACAGCTGAATATTTATTTGTTCTAAGTTTTTTAAACTGACAGTATTTTGTGCTGCTGGAATTTGAGGTTATTTGATATTAAATATTGATGTTATCACACACCTGATCAAATAGCACTAAGTGAAAGTGAGATTTAAAGCTTCTGTTTATTGTTACATTTGATGTGAATAAGTTGAAACCAGATATTTACAGACAGTTCACACATTTTTCTTTACTTTCAAACATTAAATCAGAGCAATTTTTTTTTTGGGGGGGGGGGTTTAGATAAATTTCTTTTAATGTAAACATAACCGCTTCCCAAACCCGTACTTCTCGTAATATCACTTTTAAGAAAATTAGTAATATTAACCCAGCTGTTTTTTTTCCATCGGCCATCCATGGCCTTCCCTCTATTCACAGCTCCTCAACCCCTCATGAACTTGTTTTTCATTATAATGTTAACCTTCATAGCCTTCTTAACATATTTGCTCCCCTTAAACATTGAACTGTCTGATTTTCCCGTTCAGCACCATGGTTTACCCCCAACCTGCATCATCTAAAAGCTGAAGGACACCATCTCGAACGTCTATTCAAGAAGACCAGACTTACTATACATAAAGAAATGTATAATGATCATGTTTTGTTCTATAAGAACTGCATTGTTTCAGACAAATCTGAATACTACTCTGGTTTAATCAGTTTTAATGAAGGTAAATCTAGGTCTCTCTTTTCATTGTTCAGTGGAATTACAAAACCTCCAGACATATTCCCCTCCCACACGTATTCTGCGGACTTTTGTAATTCTCTTATCTCTTTTTTTCACTCATAAAATCTCAGATATCTATCGTCAACTTAACTCTGTAGGAGCTTTCGACTGTGAAGTAGACTTCCTGTTTCCCCCAGTGTCTTCTTGTCAGTTATTTAAGGTTTACTCTTTCCTCCATAATTGATGTATCTAATCTTATTAAAAAATCTAAATCATCCACCTGTCAACTTGACCCTCTTCCCACTGTGTTAGTTAAAGCCTGTCTTCCCTGGCCAATTGGCCATTTTTGGCCAATTGAAACCCATTATAACCACCTTTTTTGATTCCTTGTTATTGACAGTATCATGCAATTTAGGTCAAATTGCTTTCATTCTAAACTCAACACATGAAAATTGTAGTTTTTAATGTTTTTTACCAAATTACATCATTTACCTATTTTAGGCCAAACAAGCAATTTCATGTAATATTCCTAGTTTCTAGTAGCGGTCTACCATAAACAACGGTAGACTGGTGGGTAATAAGCGAATAAATAATGCAGAAAACAGAGATTTGAGACGGGAAACTGTTCTTGAAGTACAGAGAGAGAGAGAGAGAGAGCTGTGCATGAAGTGTGATTTTTATCGTGGTGGAAGCAAAACAGCAAAAGTCAGAGGGAATTCATGATGACATTGATCAAATGTGAAGCGCAGTTTGCTGCTTCTTTTGCTGCCAGCTCGGTGAATTTTGGTTGGAGAGAGACAAAACCTGCAGCTAAGAATAGTGCAAAAAGACGTAAACACAGAGCGGACCCGACGCATCAGAATCGCTGAGCTCCGACAGCGTGTCCGTCTACGGGCCGTCGGGTGAGAAAGCCGAGAAAGACAAAGCTGATTCTGATGCGTCGGTCGGTTCTGTGTTTACGTCTTTGTGTGGAATCCGTGTACCTGCTCTCATTTACTGTTTGGTGGTTATTGAAATGGTTTTGTGAGCTTTAATCTGAGAATCTGGTGTTTCTGACAAAACACAGTTATATTTAAAAGTCGATTCAGGATTTAATGAATTGATATCACTGTATTCAAGCTATTCACCTCCCACTTCCAACTGCACTTTCAACTGGACCACGGCCAATCAGAGAGGTCCCGCCCCTGACTATCTCTGATTGGTTTAGTCCACAATAGGGGCATAATGTGTGTCTGTTGTTGACCACACGGAGAGTTGCAGAGATTTATTTTTTTTGTTACCTGAACAGTTGGTCGCACTGGTGCAACCAAATATTTTTTTTAGTCGCACCACTGAAAAATTTGGTCACATTTGCGACCAAATTGGTCGTACTCTAGAGCCCTGGAAAGGGTAGTGATTTTGAACAAACCCAGAGGGTTAACACTGGAATTGTTCCTTCATTTCTGAATAAGGTTTCTGTTATTCAGACTCTCAAAAAGCCTGGTGTAGACCCCAATAACTTTGATAATCTTCGCCCTATATCAAATCTCCCCTTTATTTGAAAAATTCTTGAAAAAGTTGTCGCCTCCCAGCTTCACTTAGACCTCAATAACTAATCTCTATGAACAATTTCAATCTGGTTTCCGCCCCAATCATAGCACAGAAACTGCTTTGTCAAGGATTACCAATGACTTTCTCATGGCAGCTGATTCTGGTTTCCTTTCCATTCTCATACTTCTTGATCTTAGTGCGGTGTTTGATACCATTTCTCACAATATCCTCCTGAACCGGTTAGCATCCATTGGCATTAGTCACACCCACCTTGCCTGGTTCACTTCATATCTCTCAGACTGCACTCAGTTTATCCAACTTAAATCCCACTCTTCAAGTCTCTATCCTGTTTCTGCTGGTGTGCCCCAGGGTTCAGTATCAGGGTCTCTTTTATTCATGATCTACATGCTCCCTCTTGGTCATATATTCCAAAAAATATAATATAAATTTTCACTGTTATGCTGATGACACCCAGCTCTACATTTTTTTCTTTTTTTTTCTTCCTTTTTTTGTTGTCCCCAAGAAAGATGCCAAGCGGATTTATTTTACCAAGTGGATCATCATGGCCTTGCTCTACATTTCTTCTAAACCCAATTTATCCCTCCCACCTACCTCCCTCTCAAAGTGTCCTATCGAGATTAGATCATGGTTCTCCTCCAATTTTCTTAAACTTAACAGTAATAAAACTGAAGTTTTACGTGTTGCTACAGCCTCTATCTTAACCAAATCCCACAGTTTTTTCATTAACATTGAAATTTCTCCCACCCTTCTCTTCCCTCAGGTTAAGAGTTAGGGTGTCATACTTGATAATACTCTTTCATTCCAGTCTCACATTAATTACATAACCTGGTCTGCTTACTTCCACTTACATAATATTAACTGACTCCGTCCCTGCCTTACTCCCCATGCTGCTGCCAACTTTGTTCATAGTCTTATTACGTCCCGTATTTATTACTGCAATTCCCTCTTATTTTGTCTCCCTAAAAAGTCCCTTCATAAACTCCAGCTTATTCAAAACTCTGCAGATCGGGTCATAACTCGTACTCTATCAAGAGCTCATATTACCCCAGTTCTTCAGCAGCTTCACTGGTTGCCCCTAGAAGCCAGGATAAACTTTAAAATCTAACTTCTCACCTATAAGTGTATCTATAAATCTGCTCCTTCCTATTTGTGTGACCTGCTTCATATCGCCACCGTTTCCCACCTTCTCAGATCCTCATCTGCTATTCATCTCACTGTTCCGTCCACACGTCTTATCACTATGGAAAATAGAGCCTTCAGTCGTTCTGCTCCTTGGCCTTGGAACTCCTCCAGCCATGAGAAATATAGACTCTCTACCCGCATTTAAGTTAAAGCTGAAAACACATCTGTTCAAACTGGCTTATTCGTTTTAGTGCTGGCTTATTCGTTTTAGTGCAAAACAGAACTTGACAGAACTTGTCAAGTTCTGTTTTGCAATTTTAACTTATTTTATGTATTTTATAACTATTGCTCCTTTTATTAATTTTGTTCTTTTGTAAGGTGAAATAGGTCAAATAAAATGTATTATTATAATTAATAAATATTAACAGTTTTTGCATTTGTGAAATGTCAGAATAAATAGAGAGAGTATTGTTGTTCTTTTTAAATTACTTTTTTTAGATTACTTTCATCAAAGTCAGAAGTATACATACACTTCCACAGTGTCACGTCTGGCGTGGCAGATGTGTGGAGTTGTAGATAGGACCCAAAATGCAGCAGCTCTGGTGCAGGTGAGTTTATTTAACCGAAGAAAATACAAACAGCGATGGCGAGGGTTAAAACTAAGAAAACCTAAACTGGAAAAACTAACCGGAAACAGATATGCAGGGAAGTACGGGGAAATAGACAGCAAGATGAACAGAGAGACACAGACGAACCAGCAACTAACAGAGGCAGACACGAGGTTTAAATACACAGAAGGATAACGAGGGAATGAGACACAAAAGGAGGGCACAGCTGGGAGTAATCAGACCTGACGAGACAGGAGAAAAGTAAACTGAACACACTGAGATCAGACACGGACCTTCAAAGTAAAACAGGAAACACATACACGTAATGACATAACACACAAACTTAACACAAACTGGGGGACACAAAACATAGGAACATGAACCATGTAACAGAAGAGTACAAGCACCCAAGGTAACCAAAACCACAGAATAATAATAAACTAAAACATAAACACGGAGTCACAGGCTCCGGACCATGACACACAGTATTTAGTTGAATTGCTCTGAAACTGTTTCACTTGGGCCAAACATTTCGAGTTTCCTTCCACTTTCTACAATAGTTTTCTTGAATCTTGGCTCACTCCTCTTCACAGAGCGGGTGTAACTGGGTTGGGTTTGAAGGCCTTCCTGCTCATCTCGGATTTTCAGTGCGGCCCACAAATTTTCTATGGTTGTGGTTCCCAAACTTTCTTGCTAGGCCCCCCTTTGTTTTACTAGAAAAATGTTCACGCCCCCCTCACCACCTAAGGGCCCCACACTTTGGGAACCTCTGTTCTATGGGATTGAGATCAGGGCTTTGTGATGGCCACTCATAAACTTTGACTTTGTTGTCCTTAAACCACTTTGTAACTAATTTGGAGGTATGCTTGAGGTCACTGTCCATTTGGAAGACCCATTTGCACCCGAGCTTCAGCTTCGTTGGTGATGTCTTCAGAAGTTGTTTAAATATGTCCACATGATTTGCTTTTTTTCACAATGCCATCTATTTTGTGAGGTGCAGTCCCTTGTACAGCAGAACAGTCCCACAACGTGATGCTGCCACCCCCATACTTCACAGTTGGAATGGTTTTCTGAGACTTCAAAGCTTCCCCCCTTCCCCTCTAAATATACTGTTCATCATTACGGCCAAACAGTTTAATTTTTGTTTGGTCAGACCTCAGGACGTGTCTCCAGAAATTACGATTTTTGTCCCCATGTGCAGTTCCAAATTGTTTTCTGGCTTTTTTATGGTGGTTTTGAAGTAATGGCTTTCTCCTCCCAGAGTAACCTTTCAGCTAGTGGTGGTACAGGACTTGTTTTACTGTGAATAGTGACGTTGTCTTACCAGTTTCAGCCAGCATCTTCACAAGGCCTGTTTCTGTTGTCCTGGGTTTGATTTTCACATTGCACACCACAATCCGTCTCCTTCCCGAGTGGTATGATGGTTGTAAATTGCCATGTTTTTTATACTTGCGCCTTGTTTTCTGATCAGATGAGCCAGACTTGTGGAGGGCAACAATTATTTTTCTGATGTTTCGGTTGATTTCTCTTGATTTTCCCATGATGTCAACGAAAGAGGCCCTGTGTTTGAGGTGTGGCCCCAATTAACACATGTATTTATCTAAAACAAAAAAGTTTATTCTGATTTGATGTTTGACGGCAAAGAAATAACTGCATTTGTGTTTTTTCCTGAAGTGTATGTAAATATCTGGTTTCAACTGTATGCTAAAGTACCCCTGTAAAAGATGTTCTGTTCATATTCTTAATTATTCTATAAAGCCTATATTAACAGAAATGATAAAAGTGCTTTCAGGCTTCAGAGTATATGAAACCGCTATCTTTTTTTTTTTTTTCAATTTTCACGGTCATAACCTGGACCAGAGTAGCACAAACTCTGAGGAGTTGTATTTAAGCAAAGTGCTTGAGAAATAAATTGATTTTAGTTTTGAGAGTTTGTGACTAAAATTAAATTGATTTTTGATTCTTTATATTTTATTGTATGCAGTCTGTATCATTAAAAAATTAACTGCACCAATCAGATTGCGTGAGGGAACACAATGGTTAAAACATGTTGCTCACAGTGTGAAGCTTCAATACTTTTGTCACTTTTATCAACAAAGCGCTGCCAAAACATCAACATCTGTCTGTCTTTCTCTCCAAAAGATGATCAACTCTAAAGATCTGATTGGAATATTGAGATCTTTCATGAAGATATTTCTTTATGTGGAAGTAAAGGTCAGTAAATCATCACTCAGATTCATGTTTGTGGAAGTGAACACATGAGTGTTCACTTCCACAAACATGAATCAATTTTATTGGAATTCCACGTGAAAGACCAACACAACACAACACAAAGTGGGGAACATGTGAGAAGTGGAATGAAAATCAGACATGATTCCAAACATTTTTTACAAATAAATAACTGCAAAGTGGGGTGTGTGTAATTATTCAGCCCCCTTTGGTCTGAGTGCAGTCACTTGCCCATAGACGTTGCCTGATGAGTGCTAATGACTAAATAGAGTGCACCTGTGTGTAATCTAATGTCAGTACAAAT